AATTCATGATGGAAAAAGAAAAGGAAGGAACATTGCCATTCTTGGCTATCCTGGTCATCCGCAAACAGAACCAACATTTAGGTCACACAGTATACAGAAAACCTACACACATGGACAGATACCCACATAAGAACTCCAACTATCACCCAGGACAAAAAAGAAGCACAATAAAAACACTGGTAGACTGAGCAAATAGGATCTGTGAACCCTACTTCCTGGAAGAATTGAAGCACCTAGACTGGGCTGTATGGCAATAGCAAGTACATACAGGCTAATGGTTACTCCAGCCAGACATCATAAGGGCTGCCAGACCCAAAAAAAAAAAACCCATAGGAGTGAAGACAAACACCCAGCCAAAGGGAAGATATTTTTACCATACATCAAAGGAGTCACAGACAGAATAGGGAAACTGGTGAGGAAACACAACCTCCAAATTGTCTACAAACTGACCAAAAAAATCCAGCAAATGCTTTGCTCAGCAAAGGACAAGAGAGACCCTCTCACAGATGCAGGAGTTTACCGCATACTATGCATCTGCAGACAAGTCTCCATAGGGACCACCAAACACAGTATTCAAACATGAATCAAGGAGCACAAGAGACACTGCAGACTGGACCAGCCACAAAAATCAGTAGTAGCAAAACACGTTATAAACCATCCTGGATATAAAATGCTATTTGAAAACACTAAAATTCTGGACCATACCAACAACTATCAGGTAGAATGCACAGGGAAGCCTTTGAAATCCACAAACACCTAGACAACTTCAACAGGAAAGAAGAAACCCTTCAAGTAAACAAAGAATTCACACTATTTTTGACAGTCTGCAACCCCCCAAAGTTTGGCTACCATTCCTGAAAAACACCAAAATCAAAACCAAGCAAATGCAATGAAAACCAACCAGGGTCAGGGAGTTTCCCAGCAGACAATGGATCACTAATTAAATAGACACCTGAGGTCTTGCCATTCAGCAACAGACCAATACACAGATTAACATGTAAATCACTTCCTCTCAACCAAGGGTCACACAATATATATACCCTACTCACTTCCATGCCAGCATTCTCTGAAGATGCCAGCCACAGCTGCTGACAAAATGTCAGGAATAAACTCTTTCAGAACAGGGCCAAATAGCCCGAAAAACCCACAAAATCAATGGATGCCAGCTGTAAAAGCCTTCAACTTCATATTTATTCTATCCATCTCTTTTTTGAGATTCTGGATTATCTCTTCACTATCAGATCATCAACATAACTTGTAATATTCATTATCTCTGAAGCTTTTGTGCACACATTTTCAACAGTGTCTGGAGTGAACCCCTCTTTGACAAGATGATTCAGTTTCTTACTTCATGCTCTGGTGGCCTGTCTCAAACCATAAATGTTTTTCTTCCGTTTGTATACAAGACGTTCTTTCCAGGAATCTGGAATTGTGGAGGCTATTCCATATACAGTTCCTCATTAAGGTCACTGTACAGAAAAGCCATTTTATCATCCAGATGCTGAACATGCATTTTCTTGGAGGCTGCAACAGCCAGGAGTGTTCTGATGGTTGTACCCATGACAACTGGAGCAAATGTCTCTTTGTAGACTTTACCATATTCTTGACTGTAAGCTTTAGCCACAAGTCTTGCTTTGTATCTCAGAATCTCCCCTTCTGCACCTGATTTGTATTAAAGATCAATCTACAGCCAATTGTCCTTTTTCCTTCTGGCAATTCTGACAAAGTCCATGTTGTATTTTTATATAAAGATTGCATTTCCTTAGTAGCAGCTTGTACCCACTTCTCAGAATCTGACTTTGGTAGTTCCTTGATCTTTTGCCAGTCAGAGGATTGTGGAATCCTTTTCTCTGTGGCTAGATAAGAGAATCTGTCAAGTGGCACACCTCTGTTGCAGCATTCTCACCTGTACTTGAATACTTAGTTCTACTTCTTGCACTCCATCCTGTTCCTCATCATTTGGCGAGTCCACTGGGTGTGTTGTCCCTTCTGGATGCAAGGCATCTGGAGGATGAAAAAATTCCACTCATTCCGGTTGCTAATGGAGGTCTTCTTCCACTGCAAATAAATCTGTCTACATCTTGGTTTGGATTAAATTTGGGCTCTCGTCTTTCATCAACATAAATAGCAGCACTTGTTAATTTTATTGTGTCACTTTGGATCTAGAATAATACAAAAATACTTACTTTACTCCTGCAGTCAAATTTGTCACTTTTCTGCTTGGGAATATAGGTGTATGCTTTGCTTCCAAAAACCTTGAGATGATTCAGTTTAGGTATGATTCCATTCCATATCTGAAATGGAATTACCAGCCAGTTATTAAAAATGCAGCAGTATAATGGCTTCAGACCATAGCATTTAGGCATGTTAGCTTCTAAAAAGCATTTTGATTGCCACTTCTTTGAAAGTTCTATCCATGCTCTTTGCTAGGCCATTCTGTTGTTGGGTGTAAGGACCCATAATTTGATGCTCAATGTCATCTTCCTTTAAAAACTCATCAAACTGAGCATTAACAAACTTCCTGCCATTGTCAGGGCACAGGCTGTAGGGTTTATAGTCAAATTTATTAGAGACACGATTAAAGTACTCTTTGAACTTTTGAAAAACTTCATTTTTCTCTCTGAGAAGGTAAATGTATGTATATTTTCTGAAATCATCAATAATAGTAAAGGGTAAAGTAAGGCTTTCCACTTGGAGACTGAATGGACTGCAAAGATCAGCATGTAAAAGGCTGAGTGGATAGTGGATGCACTACCTAGTGGCTTAGTGGCTAGTCTTAGTGGATAGTGGATGCAGTAGCTTTAAGGCTGATTTATTTTAGTGTGAGCTTTTGTGAATTTCAATCCACTTCCTTTGATCCACTGGTGGAATCAATATTAAAAACCACAGTGATTTGGTTTGGGAGTGGGATCAATAATACATGCTAGAAAAGCAAAATGTAAATGTCTAAAACAAATAATATCAACAGCATATTATATGTTGACAAGATTTTCTGCTGTTTTATGGAAGTTTCTTCAGATTTTGGGTTAGAATTAATATTATTAATCTGGGTTTTTTATTCTGTTGTTACAGCCTACTGCAGATTGAAAAGAACCATTCAATCATTCTTCACCTCTCAAACATTTTTTTAAAAATCTTTAAATAAAAGCCAAGATTCTCAGCATTCTGAGGACCCTATGCTTTCCCAACAATTGTGTTGCTTAGTAGGATACCCCTGAGATGTTAAGTCTCCATTTGGAGGATACCCTGCTTCTAGTATATCTTTATGATCTCTTTACTGTTGTCCATGTAGGAAATCCTGGATCTTAGCAACCTGCCAGAGTTGAAGTGGGGGAATAGGCAATGAAGACCCTC